GAAGAATGCAAAAGGAAGCGATTTTGCTAGGGCTTAGCTTTTTATTTCTGAACTTTGTGCATAAAACCATTCCTTTGAGCCTTGCAAAGTAGGGTCTAACAAGTGTCCTTTTCCTTGCCTTTTTATTGAACATCAAGTAGGTGTAGGGCATGACTCCGGGAGTCACACAGGAACATAAAATGCAAGCTCTGCCCTTCGGAAATATACAGTCTGCTCGGGAGGCACAAGGAAGGCATAAAGAAGATAAATAGCAGGCCCCACTGAACATCTTGAGGCGCACAGGCTGTTTGGGCTACAGGAAGTCCAATGCCAGGCATGGCCCCACGACCTTAGGGGCAGGTGGGGGGCGGAGGAATATTGCTGGAAAGGGAGGAGAAGCATTTAGGTTAACGTTTCGGACAGCCTTAGACTTGTAGGAAGGCGGACTGTCAGCAGGCTGGTGGTCAGGAAGAAAGGAGGAACAGACATGATTTATCTCAGGGCTCAGCAAACTACGGCTCACAGGCCAAACTCGTTTTAAGTCCTGCCAGCTAAGGGTTTTACATTTTTTAATGGTTGAAAAACAATCCAAGAAATCGTTTGTGACACGTGAAAACGATATGCAATTCAAATGTCAGAGCTGGCAGTGCTGCTGGGACCGAGCCGCACTGCGTTCCCACAGCAGCAGTTAAGAAGCTGCCTAGGAGAGTTACTCTCTGGGTTTTTACAGGAAAACAAAACAACAGCAAAAAATAAAACCACCCCGCCCTCCCCTGCTTTACCCCAGGGGCTATCACTTGACCAGATCTAAGACCAGGGCAACTCTTGGGGTCCAGGTCATGGTGGGTCATGCGGGGCTATGGAGTGTCAACTTCGCTTTCTCGATTCATTCAAGGTTTTGAGCAAGAACAGGGAAGAATGGGGAGAGGTGTGACGATAAAGACAGAGGAGAGGGTTGAGGCAGAAAACAGTTACGAGTCAGTATGTCGCTGAAGCCTGAGGTGACAAAGACTGTACTGGCTCCCTTCATGATTCTCCTGAGGACGTCTCGTTCTTTCTCTTCAACCCTCCAACCACACTCCTCCCCGTTCACTCTCTGCTGAGGTCTTGTCCACATTTCGTTGAGAATTTTTTTTTTTTTAAGAAGGAAGAAAGAACCCAACCCAATGGCAATGCTTCATCCTCTCACCTGGAACCTTCCTCCTGCTGCACTGGAGGGTGTGCCTGATCCCACGCCTGCAGTGCCCCCTGGAGGCTTGCGGAGTGAAGTGCAAGCGGAGACCTCAGGCCTGCCTTCTCTATGCCCAGGTCCTGCCCTCCTGAACAAGCAGGAAGGACTCGCCCATGCAATCAGACTGCTTTAGGAATGGTACCCTAACCCCCACCCCAAAGACGTCTGCATCTTACTTCCATGAATCTGTGAGCGCTACCTTATTCAGGAAAAGGGTCTTAGCAGATGTAATTAAGTTAAGGCTCTTGAAGAGGTCAAGTGGATTATCCTGGGGGGATGGGGGAGGAGAAGGGTCCAAATCCAATGGTTAGTGTCTTTATAAGGGAGGCCCAGGGGAGATGGGACAAAGGGGAGAAGGTGCCCTGAAGACAGAGGCAGAGATGAAGGGATGCAGCTGCAAACTAAGGACCCACAGGCACTTGAAGCTGACGATTTCCAGAGCCTCTGGAGCGAGTGTGAGCCTCCTGACACCTTGATTTGGGCTCCGTCCCCCAGAGCTGAGAATACATTGCCGCTGTTTTACTGCCCGGTGTATGGTCATCTGTATGGCAGTCCCAGGACAATAACAGGGGCTATTTATTTGTCCTGCCCTTGCTGACAGTTTTATTCCCATGTTAAGGTTCAAAACCCTGACACTAATTTAAATCACAAAATCACTTCAGGATTCAGTGTGTCCAATTCCAAGTAATAGGGAAGTCCATTCAGACCTAAGGCTTCTCACCACTTTCAGCTTCACCATC